CCCCCCCAACAGAACACAATAAAAATATTACATTTTGGAGGAGCAACTACTAAGATTAATTATTAACAGGTCAGTATGAGGGCTGGATATAAAAAGAGGATTTCAGAGGCTGAATCTCTCAGACGTAAAAGAGGAGCACAGGCTGACCAGTATTTAAACTGCAGCTAATAAGAAAAGAAAATAATGATAAACTGAAATATTGCAATATTTTATTTCCCAATACTGTATTGATTCTCTAAAGAAGTTGTTCCCAATCTATTTTCTTCAAAGCCTCCCTTTGTGATTTGCAAGCTAAGCTGAAATAAGAAATATGAAACACATAGAATACAGTTGTTTTTTTTCTATTAGAATTTTGGGAGAAAAAATAGAAAAATATCGTCTTACTTACAGTATCACAATATATCGCGATATATCGTGTCATGTCCCGTGTCATGATATGTATCGTATCACCAAATTCTTGCCAATACACAGCCCTAGTGGACAATAACTCAACCAAAAACGCATGGAAAGACTTTGAATAAGTCATTATCTACAGTTCATATCATCTCTGTATTTCAGGGATCTGGGGAAATCTCTGAAAATCTCTAAAAGAGGATATTGGCTCCTCAGGCTGCCCTGCATTAAAAACAAGTCTGATTCTTATCTGGACATCATTATGGGCTCAGTGACATTTTCACAAATCACTGTGAAAACACAGTTCACTGTGCCTTACACAAATTCTGGTTAAAGCTCTATCATGCAAAGAAAAAGCCATAGGGGAACATCTGGAAACACCTCAGTCTTCTCTGGACCTTTAAAATGGATTGAAGCAGAGTGGAAGACCGTTTTGCAGAAACTAAAAACATGTTCTCCATACTAAACAGGAGAGAAACCAAACAGCCAGTTCAAAAGCCTGCCTCTCTGATGGTATGAGGGTGCATTAGTGCATATGGAATGTGCAGATTATAAATTTGGAAAGGCACCATACATGCACAAATGTTAAATTTATTGACCGTTATCGTCGTGATATATTCTGAGCTAACGCATCTCACGAGATCTTACACATCGTATACTGATATCTTCAACAGAATAGTGATAAAACAGAAATCATCCTTGTCGGCACTAAAAATTCAATCTCAAAATCTAACAATCTCCTCATCCCTATCAACAACTCTCTGCTAACCCCCTCCCCTCAGGTCAAGAGTCTTGGTGTCATCCTCGACACCACTCTCTCTCCTTCACTGCTCACATCAATAATGTTACTCGGTCTGCCTACTTCCACCTCAGAAATATCAACCGTCTCCATCCATCTCTCACACCCCACACCACAGCCATCCTTGTTCCACTCTCTTTAGGTTAGCATATTTAACTTCATTTGTAATCCATGCTCTGTAACTCATGCCAGCTTGTCTTTGTATTTCCACACATTCTGCCTAACGCTGTAAGTGTCCTTGGGTGTCCTGAAAGGCGCTTTTCAAATAAAATTATTATTATTATTATTTTACAGTGAAGCACTGATTTTTGAGGGGGTTGCATTTTTAGAGTACACACAAATCGTTAAAAAATACTGGATGCAGTCCAGAAAAGGCCTGCAGTGTATTTGGGGTGGCATTGTAATGCGGTAAGAGCCAAACAAATACACACAAAGTCTAAACAGTTAGCTTGTGTGTTTTTGCACAGTTAGAAATACTGCTGGGCACATGTCACGTACTGTACTCTACTGCAGTGTTTCCCAAAGTTGGGGTCAGGACCCAAAGTGGGGTCCCGAAACATCAAGGTGGGGTCCTGAAAAGATTTTCTGAATTAATCACATTTTTCTCTTAGTTGTTACAAATGAGTGAGGTTAGTATATTTAAAATAGATAAATGTAGTATAAAAAATATTGTTACTATGCCCATGTTTAGTTGACCTGATACAAATGTTTATCATCCATAAACAGTTGGGGGCACAGGTCTCTGCTGCTGTTATTTTGTGGGTCAAAAGCTGAAAAGTTTGGGAACTACTGCACTTTGGTTCCCAAAGTTGGGCTTGGGACCCAATTATGGGTCATGAAGCACCTTGGATAATCTCCAGAAATCAATTTAAAGGGTAATAAAATAATTGCTGATGTAATATTTTCCCTATAATTATTACAAAAACACAAAATAAATATAAATAGGTATTTATATTTGTGTACAAGCTGTTTAGATTGTCAAAAAGCCTGTGTTTTAGGGTTATTAACAAAGTTTGTGTACTSAGACCAGTAATACTTGGGGTCACAAGTTTTTGCCATGGGTATTTTGTGGGTCAGAAGATAAAAAGTTTCGGAACCACTGCTCTACTGTATTATTTTTATTTATGTTAATATTTATGTTATAAATTCATTAAATTATTATGTTCCTAATAAATTACTGTGAAAACTCACGAAAAAGCACGAGAAAAAAACTGAGATCAATCGACTTGTACTTCAGGTTTCCATGATATCATGGTGATTACCACAAACAWAAAAACTATTAACTAGGTTCCATGAAAAAACTAAGATAAAAACAAAGCACTGAGTCTAAAATCTGTGCAACACAACTTTGTGGTGGTTCATTATGAGACAAGTGMAAAAGCTCCTTTCTTTTCTCAGATGATTTTAGTTTTAAACTCAGACATGAAAAGTAACAGGCGATATGCATCCCTTCATCCCTCACTTTACTCCTGACAAACCTGCAGCTACGCTCTCGCTCCCACGCCGGACCCCTTTGTCTCCCGCTTTTCCACCTGGGACTMTAGCGAGCTTGATGAAACACTTGGAAAGATCAAATATCAGAACATCTTTTTGTCGGGCGTTCTCCCTTGAATCAATAGGATTTGGAGGAGCTAAAGATAAAAGCTCAATCACATTTGGATTAATTCCTCTCTCATTGTTTCTGTGTCATTTCATCATCTTGGAGAACTTTGTCTCCTTTTTTTAATACATCTGAAAGGAACTAAAAGCTTTAATAACTTCTTGTTCATTCCTTAAATGAAAAAAAAAAGATCATTAATATTTTGAAACGCAGCAAGAACACTGAAGTTATTTATTTAGGAAGTGATTCTGTTTTTGGACWCCATCTTACAGGAGTGAAGAAAAAGGAGTAAATAATCAACCTCACCAAGTTTTAKCTCAGTATCTGTAAACTTAATTGAGTTAAAGTCATGTTTATTTTCTGACCTGGGTCACATCCTATAACAACTTTCTCCTCAGCTTGATGAAAACTCAGATAAATATCTTRCTGGTCACACAAATAAACACTAGAGACTGATTTGTTTTTATGTTTGTGTGTATACTCTATTCAGCCGTCTCCCTTCCTTTCTTGTGGAGCATGTAGGCGGTAAAAGGACACTTCAGATCTCTCTCAGATGAGAATAAAAGGCGTCTTTGTAACCTCCTGTTTCTTTGAAAACACACACACCACCAGGCTTCTGAATCAGATAAACCGCTGCTGCTACACCTGGATCTTTCTCTCGACGTGAACGGCAAAATTAAAAGCCGAACCCTTACGTGGAAACTCGCTGACCTCGCTTCTACGATGAAACTAAATATCATGCATTTTATGATGTCAACAGGTACGGTTTAAAAGAAACTCTGAGCAGATGACACGAAGGACCAAGAAGCAGGAAAACGGGGAGAGATGCGCAGCACTCACCATCCTCTTTGCATTCCTCGGGCGGCTTTGCCTTCTTGGCGAGCCTCGGGTCCAGCCACGATGTTGTCTTAGTGTTGTGGCTGTGAAGAGAGAGAGAGAGAGAGAGAGGGTGAGCGAGTGAGGGAGGGAGCGTGATGGATGGCGAGGGAGAGGAGAGTTGGCATGGAGCGAGAGCGATGTTGGTGGATTCCTAATTCGGCTACAGAATCATTTCAGAGAAGAAAGATGAAACTCCCTGGAGTGTCTGGGTTTTAAAAAAGTTAGACAAACACACACAAAAAACGCTTTTTGTAAACAAAATCAATACTTTAAATTTGCTTACTGCATTTCATTAGCAAGCAAGGGGAAAGGCGGAAAAGTGGGGGTCAGAGTAATAGAGAGGTGACGGAGGGAGTGATGGAAAGGATGTGGGCTGGACAGATTTTTTCTGGATCTAGATCAGATTCGATAATGTGCCAGAGAGTCTCAATGCACCTACACAACGTGTGCAAGCTCAGGAGTCACAATTCTGTCCTTTTGTTGTTACACAACAACGGGAAGATGGGAGAGCGGGGGACTCGTGCAATTTTCACAGCAAAGCGAGACGAAGCGCCAAAAAAAGGTGACTTAAACTAGTCGAGGCTAAAGGCTTTTAAATAAACAGCAAGACTGAGCAGAAACAAACAGTAAACAGTCGCCCGCTTCCAAATCCAGACACAAGATTACAWTAATAATCTCCTAATTTTCGTTCAAGCTTCCATTTAGTTCCATTTTGTTCTCCCGCTACAGCGTTAAAAACCATTTGGCTCGTTAGCGATCAGTCGGATGCTAACTTTGTTACTTTGCCAGTTGTTACTGGCTGCCATGCTGCGAATAAATTAGCTGCATTGTGGCAAAATTATAGGCCATAAAAACAAACCGATGAGCAAAAAGAGCTAAAACAGCTTCAAGAACCTCATCAGATAATCCGTTTTTTTATTTTACCTGCTAATGCAATGCAAAGTGCAGATTTCAGAGACACTTTGTACTGTTACCTCCTGAACAGTATGCCTGCAGGAAAACTGAAGATATGGAGGTAAAGAAGGYGCAGAAACTACAGTGAGGCTTTGGGAGAGGTTATGTGGGCATAACTGATAAATAAAAGTTCAATGAATGATTAATTGTACTCTAAAACAAGCGTGGAACAGAGGCGGAGCTAGACATTTTTTTGAAAGGGGTGGCCAAGGTGTTTATTTTATTTTTTT